ATAGAGGTTATTACCAATCTATTAGGGAAGTGAAATATTGTCCCCAAAATCTGACTTAGAGTACTTTTGTATGAAGATGAATTAGTCACTTTATGAAAGTCTGTAAAATATTATAAATTTATTTTCAATTTTTCAATAAAGATACACCATTGTGGCATGATTATGGGTTTAAAAAAAAAATATTATTGTAACTTTTTTTTTATTGATGTTTACCCCTTTTTTGAGATTTCTATAGGAAATAAACTGGACTTGTTTTCTTTTTTGTTATCTTAAACAACTGATATACTTTTTTAGAAGTGATTTACTTCTCTTCTACTATATCTTGTTTATCTATTGGTAACTATTTTATCTTTTAGTCTGATTATTCTGCCACTTAGTTTTTCAAATTAACTAAGATACAGTATAACATATCTTTCTCACTTTTTATTTTTGTATTTTATTTATTCTTATTAAAACTATTATATTGATTATACTTTAGATAGCCAATAAATTCTCTATTGCTTTTTGCAGCTAAAATCTATATTTTTTATTGTTTTATTGTTTTATATTTTTAGTTTAAGTTTTATAAGATTTTCTTTAATTTCTTGAATGTTAATCTTTTGAAAATAACTTTTTTATTGATTAATAACTTTTATCAAAGAGAAAAATGAACTTATTGATTCACTATCAGATAATAAGTCCATAAGTACCTCATTTTCTGTTTTGACATTTTTATCTTATGCTGTAGCTCTTTTTCTTTCTGTATCAAGATCTTCTTATTTTTTGCTATTGTGTTCTTTATACTCCATGATAGATACAATTTATGTAAAATGATATGTTCTTTATAGGCTTTGTTGAGAGCTTTTCTTATTGCAAAGTATATGATTGTAAAATTCTATTTCTTTAATATAAAGGGGCTTCTTGAGATATAATATATCTTTGCTAATATATTTAAAAATATTAATTATAAATAAATAAATAAATAAATACAGATTATTATTTATAATAAAACTTTTACTTTTTAAAAAATTTAATTTAAAGTCTTATAATTTAATCTATAGAATAATAATCATTGTATTATAGATTTATGGATCTAATATAAATAAAAATAATTAACTATTTATTCAAATATTCAATAACTACTATAGAAAAAATAATAAATATTTTATTTTATTTTTTTTTTAACCTGCAATTATACTGCAATGGCATGTTTTTATTGAGATATTAAGAAATACCTAAATATTTTACATACTTTCACAAAGTGACTAACTCATTATTGTATATTATTAGTTAAAGAACTACACTACTTAAAAAATATGAGAAGTCTATTAATTTAGTTCAGACTAAACAAAGCTAAGTCTAAACTAGATACTCTAAGTCAGATTTAGGAAACAATATTTCACTCTCCTAGTAGCTTGGTAATAGTATCTCTAAGTCAACCAGGATTATTGTCAACAGTTTGTTATTGTTGATTATCCCAAAAAATGATAAATTTCTAAAGTTAACACTAGAAAAAAGAGAAGGGTGAATGCAAATCAAAGCCCTTCAAAAGGTTCTTACTCCATTTCACAGTTTCCTTTCAAAAGGGATTTGCCTGATTGGAATATTTTCTAAGTTTCATGACATTTGAGAAACTTAGCCATTCTTGAAAATAACTTCAAGAAAAACATTTGAGAAACTTATTCTTCTGCTGATGTACAGATTCACTTATTACTAGTGAAGCCAGTGCATATTATGGAAGAGTTTGCCTGACCGGAATAAAGAAATCTTTTTAGGAACTTTGCCTAACTGAGATAGAAACTTGGAGACCTCAGCTTTTGTCCAAGAAAGCCTTTTCATCACCTGAAAAACTTAATAAAAGATGGGAGTTAAATCTTCTTTTTGTATCCATTACATGTTTTTCAGTATCATAATTGTTTCCTGGAGGTTGAACATACATAATTGGAGAAGATATTTTTTCTAGAACTTTCTTTCCTACATCATCAGTAATATATCAAGACACATGAATATGACCAATAAAAGCTTGTTTATATTTCAAAAACTGATGTGTTTTATGTCAGCCAATTATCTTTGATGAGGATTTGTGCTACCAAAAATTCAGAATCAAACTGAGATAGGTAAAATTCCTCAAAAAACCATAAAAGCGATAGCTCTAAGAGGCTCACAAGTGATTGAAAGGGGAAAAATAAGCCCTTCTGTCATCAAAAACCTCTATATACCTTTCACTTCAAAAATTAAATAAGCCTTTAAGTACTTCACAGTCAGTTTTTCTTTCTTTGGGAACTTTCTTGCCATTGGTATCAAAGGTGTTGCTTGACTTTTCTTGATCGCTAGAAGTCATGTTTTTGAATGAAGAGGTTTGTAAACAATAGGGAAAGGATAGAAATGACTCTTGAAGTCATATTTCAAATTGTTTTAAGGAAAATATTAAAACTTTATTAACAAAGAAGTATAAAAACTTCTTGCAAATATCTTTTTTGTGTATAATCAGAGGATCAGTGAAAAAAGTTTTTTTTTTATTTAAAATAATAAATATTTTATTTTTTTATTTATTTTCTAATTATATATATATATATATTTATTAAAGTTTTTTGATTTCTTAATTAATAAAGTTTTATTATTATCTTTAAAACAATTTAAAGAATATTTTTTTCTTATTTACAAATCTCTTTAATTAAAACTTAACTTTTATTAATTAAAAAAAGTCAAGTAATATCTTTATTATCCATAATCAAAAAGTTTTTTTAAAAAAAAATTCAATTATAAAGTATTTAAAAATATTTTTATATTTAAAGTAAATATTTATAAAGGTTTTTTGAAATAAAAATACTTATTATTAATTAAACTATTAAAGTTTTTGTTTTTATGGTTTTTTAAAAAATTTTGTTTATTTTAATTTGATCTTAAGTTAAATAAAATTGAGATATTATTGATATTATTATTTAGTTATATTATAATTTTAAGTTTTATAAGTAAAAAATATAAAATATGATTTTTTATTTTAAAAATTCAAAATATATTTTGATCAGACAATTTTTTTAAAGAAGAGATAGACTGTTGATGCTGAGCCTAAAAAATAAAAATCTAGTATCGATCCATTAAAAAAATAAAATATTGTTTTTTAAATTTAACTTGGAGTGTCTAGTTTAAACTTTTTTTTTGTTTAGTTCTTATATTTTTTAAATAGTATATAGATCTTCAACCAATAATATACAATGACAAATAAAGACATGCCATGAAGACATAATTGCGGATTTAAAAAGAGAAATTAACTTTGTGATACAAAAATTTGTCCAAGGACTTTCTTAATACACTGTATATATTACACAATAAAGGCAAGCCACATTAGCCTAATGGTGGGTTAAAAAAAAGATACTGTACATATTGACAAAATATGCACTTATATTTATGGTTTACGAAGGAAAAAAATCTACAATTTTTTGTTTAATAATTCGCAACTATCAAGGGTTATTTATTCTTATCGTTAACACATTCGATTTCTTTTAAATATATTGATTATAATTTTAACATGTGCTGTATTTTCTTTAATTAGGACATCGTATAAAATTAAAGAATTGAAAAAAAATGCCTTATAAGTATTCACTGCCACCTATTTTTACGATTTTACATTCTTACCTCGAATAAAGTGTATGAAGAATAATTCCCCATAATGTCGTCTCGTTTCAGTTAGATTGTTATTATCGGAGCAACGTTGTATTCGGACTTTATAGAGTCTAATCCCTTATGAACCCGTGAATTCTAATGAAAAAGTATTCATTGAGCCTTTTACTGTACATACGTCCTTGTAAATATGCATTCCCCTTTTCTACCCTCGAGATTCATTCATTACTCAATATTAATTTCGATCAATTAGTTTATCAGACTGGCGCATCAGAAAACACTTCTTGATCGATTTACAGTATAGGAAACAAAAAAAAAAAAATGGGATCCATAATTTTCTTTTCATTTTCAGCAAAACGCCTATAATGTCTCAATGTCGAAAAGGACATACGGTGAACGACATCGACCACCTCATCGAACATAAACTAGAACCTATTGTGGTTACCGTCGGGCACACTACATCTCAAATTACTGCGGGAACAGTTCGTCTCAGAGACAAAGCTCTGAAACTAGTAGAAATTTTATTGAACAGAGCTCCTCGGTTTATTCGACCTGCAACAGAAAGAATCGGCGATCGTCTTAAGATTGCTTGGAATGATATCCCGCCTCTTCGTTGGACAACATATTTGGCGTTAACATTCTGCTTAATCCCGCTCGCAATTTTTCTTTGTTGGAGTATTTTGACCTCGGTTGCCATCCTGGCTACCGCCGGAATTGTAATCGTGATCATCGAGGGTTTCCTTCTCTTCTCGGGTTTAATCATTTTTATACCTACCGCGATATTTCTTTCATTCTGCGCCTTTAACATTGTAGCCCTTCCGACTTTGGCATGGTTCTGTTTTAAGATTGGAAATATTGTTTTTCATAATATTGGATTAACTTCACACGGCTTAGCAATAAACCTTGAAAGTATGTAATAGGTTTTTTCATCGGGGAACAAATCTCGCAGTAACTTTACGTTATTATAATAAACGAATGTCATGAGATCCAAGGATCTTCCATTTTTAAGGATTACGGGTAGAGTATGAGTTTTCATACTCAAGTTCGGCCTTCATTTTCCGAATTTGGAATCCCCTTGTGTCTAGGTTTTCAAATTTAAACCCCGTCAATTTGTCGCGGCATTCCGAGATAAATGTGTCTACCCTTTTTGTCTTCTCGCACCATTTGTGGATTCTTGCATTAATAGAATTCGGTGTCACCAAAACATTAAAACATAGGTGCGCCAATTAAATTCCACGAAATCTCCTGATGACTTTTTTAATTTAAAAAGCGAAAAAAAATGTTCTGTACATGAATAATAATTTTCAATTTTCACATCATTGTTTATTATTTCACAATTGAATTATCATATGCTATGAACTTTTTACCTCTCTAGAAATTCTTTAGCAATTCTAGATTTCAATCCTTTTACCAAGATAATGGCGCAACAAAAGAAAAAGAGATTTTCTTTTTTTGGGTCACCACATCCAATCCCAGTTTCTCCAAACTCGTCGCTCCTCTCAAATTACTTTTCTACAGCACCCATCCGAGATGAAAAACTTCCGACTCCAGATGATGTCAGGAAAGCTGTCGAAAATTTAGAACGGATAGTTCTCTCCGCGAATGATTATTGTGACTCCATTGACAAATTAAGTAAGGCATCGAAGGCTTTTAGTAAATCGCTCAAAGATTACGGAAATATCAAAGGAATGGATGCCACTCATGGTAAACTATATACCACCCTTTTTCCATGTGATTGTGCACGTGATAACGATTAAATCTCCGACGATTTTATAGTGACATGTTTTCAGGTTACATCACAATTTTACGAGAGTTGCGCCGAAGTACAATCGAAGTTGGTAAGCGGGCGTCCGAGATTACTTTAATCAAGGTCGCATCAATTTTCGTTAACGTCATTCGTTTCATTTGACGGATAGAATAAATCGATACAAAAAGAATTTGAGGCATTGCAAAAGCTCTGGGACAAATACTCTAAAAAAGTGACGGTGGGATTTTCTGTGTAATTGGAAATCTTGATAGGTTTTCTATTTATTTTCTTTATCTTACGATCCTACATTCGACTAACAAATAAAACCCCGTGCACAGAAGGAGGAGAAAGCGCACAATGATTACATCGACGATTTAGATAGACAATTAAACAAGATTACCGCGGATTATGACAGGAGAATCAAGAAAGATAATAATAATAAAACATCCGCAGAATCGTATGAGGTTATTATTTTTGTTGAATTTGGAACGTGCGCATTATTTTCTTATGAATTCCGGGGTTATAATTTCCTTCCTTCCTTCCTTCCTTTTTCGCAGAAGTATACGAATTCCGTAACGATCATAAACTCCGACATCACTCGCGCGCACAGGGAATACGCGGTGCAGGTATCTAAGAGAGAACGAAACACGCATGACATCATCGCACAGAGTATTTGTCGCATGGTAGAGAATCAAAATAATTCGTTCGATGATTCCAAAAAAAAAGGTGGCACCAGTGTGACAAAGATAAATGAAATATTACCTTCAATCGGGGTTTTTGCGCAAGCGTCACAAGACGATAACGAGGATGGTAGTGGTGTTAGTGTTTGCACAGTAATCCTTTAGATGTTTCCATTGAGTGGATTAGGTCACCATTTTAATGATTCTTTGTAAAATTTTACCTAGATAATATCAAAACCAGCCAAGGAAATTGCGATGATTACACGAAAGTTATCGCGAAGAGCTTCGCATAAAGTATCGCAGTCTATCGCATCCATATCCGAACTACAGATAGCCGCAATGAACTATCTGTCACCCGACTTCTCAAAACCCTTAAGCGAAGATCAAGAACATCTCTCGTCCTCGAAATCTTCCCCACCTCCTCAGATTCCTGTCCTAATCCCTTCGGACCCAATTAATATACAATTCAATCAACCCATACCAATATTACCCGAAGAAACGATCACCTCCTGGAATGGTCGACCCAAGGAGAACGGCGTAAAAAAAAGCGACCGTCACATTTCCTTACCACAAAATCTCGACATCATATCACAAATATCCTCACCAATCCCTTTAACCGCCAAACCGAGGACACCCGACTTGATTTCAAAAATCTCCATAGGTATCCACGAAGACGACCATCCATTCTTTCGGGATTACGATGTAAATTTCTCATCTAATGATAACAGTGAAGTCATCAATAACAGCCAAGATTCACCAAATCCTTTGCAGTCATCGGAAAAACCACAAAGTGACAATGAGAATAAAAGATTAACCATCATCACCGGAAATAATTTTTCGAGTAGTAACGCCAATAATGGTGTGGGTGGAGAAGATGACCGATCAACAGAAGAAACCAAACCAGATAGTATTAATGATAAACCACCAAATCCTGCGTACAGCTTTGACACTCGGTATTTAGTTTGCTCATTTCCTGTTGACTTGCCAGTTCGCACGCCACCCTGTTCACCTTCTACATCACCTAGACAATCTGACATGTGTTATTATAATCCCAATTATGTAAATAGTAATAATTTTGACAGCGAGAGGGTGGAGATTGAAAGAAAAATTGAACCAAAGAAGAGAGAACGTCTTCAACACATTTTTAGCCAGTCAGATGGAAACACTAGACAGGGGGAAAAATATAATGATGAGCCTGATGAGTTCGTTTCCAAGAATGATCATCAATCCGAAATAACTTGTTCTTCACCAAGCACGATTAGCAATGAAGATGCGGACAAACAGAATGGCAGACTGGACAATCACAATACGAAGACATCATCTCCATCTCCGTTATCAATAAAATCAGATGTGGCGGAAAGCGAAAGAGCTCGTACGCGCGCTCCGTATAATTTGAGTCCACGACGTGCATACACGGATTATCCTTTGCCTATTAATACCAATAAGCGGGCTGGTCCATCCGTTGCTGACTTGAGAGAACGTTTTTCATCGTCATTAAATAATGAGAAAGAAAAGGTAAGTTTTTTCGCTCTCGAAGTCGTATTTTTAAATCGACTCTTTGAATTGATAAATGATGCGTGCGCAATATGTTTAAGATCCCGACTGTTCCACGCAGTGTTCCAATATCGAGACAAGGTCGTGTCATTACCTTGTTGTCAAAATTTGATGCCGAGGGCCCCAATACTCGTCAATCCTCGAGATCTAGTAATCATTCAAGATCGGACGATTACCTTTTTAGAGATCAAGATTCGAGATCTAGTAATCATTCGAGATCCGACGATTATTTTTTTAAAGATCAAGATTCGAGATCTTGTGACTACGACTATGACAATCAGCATCACGAAGATGATAGAGACAACGACGAAGTCAAGGATGAAATGGTAAATTGATATTGTAATTGATATTGTAGACATGGTGATGCTTCTTTAACATTTCAAGGCATCAATCTTTTCCCTCTTTTGAAACATCCATAGTACATCGATCATGTTCGCGACGAACACGTTCTTTCATCATCACCAACCAAACAAGAAGAATGTGATTGTCATATTTGTCAAAAGGTGAATTCATCTTTAGACCCTCAAGACGATTCGTCAACATTCGGAAGGAGAAGTTTTTGTGAGAATAGTAGTAACATATGAAGTCCTCCGTAATTTTCGTTAATTGCATGAATTTATGGGTTTTATTCATTAAAAAAAAAAAGAAAAAAAAAAAAAAAGTAAACACTGTATTATTTGGTTCATAAATCATTCGAAATCATTCGATTAGAAAGATGTAGTTCATTTCAACAATCTAGATATTGTATATCGATAAAATTCACTCAAATCAGATTTAATACCCTTATACATTAGAATTAATAAAAATACAGAGGCACATTTTATTAGTATTAAATTCAATCACGGTCCTTTTCTTTCCCTTTCTTTCTTTCTCTTTCTCTCTTCTCTTTAAATTCCTTTACCTCTCTGAAAATTGCAACGAGTAATGGGACCGAAATGGGCACAAACAACGGCATATATATAGCGTACTTGTGTTCGTCGGGAAAATATAACATTGACACCATTGTGGGATCAAAAAATGCCGATTCAGCTCTTTCTATTGCTTTCTTTGCATGGTGTAAGGCAACTTCGTATTGTTCTGCTTGCAAACTTGCGCAAGACTAGAAACGCGAAAAACGTGTTAGCATAGTTTACGAGGAATTTGATGGTGAAAATATTTTCGTACCTTTTTTAAACTGTCCAATGCCAAAAAGACCTTGGATTCGTTCAAGGATGATACGATCAGATAATTAAACGAAGGATCAGATAGGATCGACAAATTAAATTTTTTAAACTCATTCACCTCTGTTTGTATGTGATCTAGAACAACCATATTCGGAATCTCGGTGACTAATTGAGACAATGATTTTAAAGTTGAAATTGTGGTAACAATATTC